AAAATTTTATTGGAAACTTATTCGTATTACTAATTAAAATAAACAAAGTTTGGGTATTAAAATGGGCACATTTATAAAAGTTTGTGCATTAAAATGGGCAAAATAATTAGTTGGGGTATTAAACTGGGTAGCGAAAAAGTTTGGGTATTAAAAAGCTTAATAAAATTTAGTTGGAGTATTTATATGGAATTTTCCCTTTATTTTAAAACTAAAATTTGGATATAGCTTCTTCTCACGACAATGATTTATGTCACGGCAGCTCAGTTGAACCTAAATTACAACAAGTACATTATTCGTTCTACTTTGAAAGAAAAAAATTATTCATTTACAATATTGCACGAAATCAGTGACATGCACTAACAAATTGAAGTAATGATGAAAGAGATAAGAGGACAGCTTTTTTACTTTACAAAGCAGTTTGCTTTTGTGGTTTCAAAAGTGACATGTCTGTTGACCATCACTGTGTAGACAAAGATTTGATTTGAGTTATTTTCACTGTAAGGCAGTTTTAAGTTTTTTATTACACTCTAGGGCAGTTATCACTCTTGAGACACTTTTTCCTAACTTTCTAGTTTTGTTCTAACTTATTCTCTGTTTTTCTAACTAAAATATAATTTTGATATAACTAAATGGACCCACTCATTATTTCATCTTCTTCCTTTTTTGTGTGTAACCGTAGAGATAATGATGTGACTATTTAATAAAAACAGTAGTGATGAGAACGGTTTCGATCCGCATCAGGTCCTCGTTAGCCATGACTGACATGAAGGAGCAGTTGACGAACTCAAAACGCAACTCAATTCTGTCAGATCTCTATAGCGATCTGTGTTAAAGTTTAGTCGTCTCCTCCTCACCGTAGTCACAGATCGAAGAGAGCACCATCAGATTTAGTCACAGATGAAAAAGAAAGCTTTTTTGGAACAACAATGGTTAGATTATTTGCACATATGGTCCTCCAGCTCTTGTTCCTTTTCCAATTTGTCTCAAGTTTCTATTTTTTTTTCTCAAATTCATCTACGAATTTGACCTGGAACTTTTAATTATGCAATCCAGACCAAAAAAAAAATTTCAATTTTACAATATTTGTTCCCTACCGTTTTATTTCTACCAAATATATTCATGATATTCAAATAAATTCCTTTTATTTGGTCCATACTTCCAAAAGTTCATGTATAAATGCATCTTAAAAATGATTAAAATGAGGTAAATTTGATGATAAATATCATAAAATCATTTCTTGTGTATGTTATTTCTAGTAATATTCGTATAAATGTCATATGTATATCACACTATGTCCACGTGTACAATATTTCATGTGTACACTAGTGTATTTGGTAATGAGTCACATGTACACATTGGGGAAAAAAAATCAAAACCATATATTGTATTTTGGGTCATAAACCATAAATCTTATTTTGTTACTTAACCATAAACTTATTTTATTTTGGAAAATGATTATTTTAGCTGAAATTAAATAATACTTATTTTAAGCTGAAACTGAAAAAAAAAAGAATATTCAATGATAGACATGATATCTTCATTCCATTTGAAAATATTCATCAATATTATTTTAGTGTGATCCCTACGTACAATGATTCTTGAATATATATATATATATATATATATGTACATATCATGGTGTACACAAACATTTATAAATTCAAATGTACAATAATGCATATGTACAATCGTTGTTGTGTATGTAATGTTTTTGGTGTACACTTATACAAACTTTAATATTTTTGGTGTACATATATACAAAGGTATTTCAAACACTGAAAAATAAAATTCTTGATTTAAATGGTCCATCTACCAAGTATGCATACTTGATACCATTACCAAAAAAAACTTATATGACATGGGCATATCTTTATCCATTTCATTACAAACATATGTTTTCTGATGTTTTATTATCCATATGTATTAACGAAATATAAACATCTATGTGTACATCGTATAAAATAGTGTCCACAAAGATTTTAAGAAGTTAGTGTCCATAAACGTCAGCACCTTTTCATCTAACCCCCAAATGTTATTTTTGTTTTAATGTTGATACTCTTAACCATAACAAAACAAATACTTAACCATAACAAAACAAATTTTTCTGTTTTTCTTTTCTATTTTTAAGGTTGATAAGCATAACAAAACAAAAGTTTAGAAGTTTAGAAGAAAATATAACAGATTTCTTCACAAATAAAAGTATTGGGTCAAAAATAAATTAAACAAAAGATGAGGGACCAAAATTTTAAAAATGTGAAAGTTCACCATTGTTGTCGTCGAGCTTTTTAGAGCTGGTGGCTGTGACAAAAAGGGCACGGTGATAACAACTCTGAAGCTTCAGTATATGTGCCAAAACTTTAAATCTTGGCTTAGAGTTCGAAAGAGATGTATTCATCGAAAGATAGAGTTTTTGTACATCATGATTATACCACCATCAGAGATATAGCTTAACATATCTTAAATGATAGATTAGTTAATAAATATATTGATTATAAACATATTTTTTGAAAATTATGTTCTGGAAAACTAATATTCATTTTACAAAAAGAACAAAAAAATTCAAGAGGAAGAAACGAAGAAGAAGATATATGGGACCTACTGTTTTTGTCTTTAGGAGAAATAAAGGTTTTTATATTTATTTAGTTAGATTAAAGCAGAAAAATATGTTTAGTTAAGAAAAACTACCTCAGTAGTGAAAACTGCCTTATTTTGTTAATAAAAACTTAAAACTGTCTTTGGGTGTAATATTTTCATTTGATTTTGTGTTTCAAAATAATTTAAGATTAGATTTTTTTTTAATTTTTCTAATTGACTGACGAGTCGTTGATGGATAAGTTCCGCCTCATTAATTTTATAATCAATCATTGATTAACAAAAAAACTCATCTCGGCAGTAGTGCTAAGTTGCTAACTAGTTAAGTAGCAAATACTAGTCTGTAATCGTTAATTAACAAAAACTCAACTGCTGTGCAGTAGCGCTAAGTTCCTAACTAGTTAAGTAGCAAATACTAGTCTTAAAATAAGCATATGCATATTTAATTATACAAGTGTTCCATTATTCGAAAGGGAGGTATATAACAAAAATAATAATTTACTCGTCTTTTAGTTCATTGTATGGTATAGATTTTTTTTTTTCTGAATTGATTTTTCTTAAAAAGTTAAAGCTAAATTTCATAAAAATACGTATTCAAATCGTATAATGTTATTTTATAAATTTTTGTTTTAGTCGATTTTTTTGTTAAGCTGTTAATTATTGATTGATGTTTTGCATTTCAAGTCTTATAGTATATTATATTATACTCTTTCCTTTTTCTAATTTTTGATGTTTTAGAAATAGTTTTCCAAATTATATGATGTTTTCAATTTTAATATAAAGCTTATTAAAATTTATATTATATAATTAATAGTATTATGTTGCCTGTTTTATTATTTGTTGAATTGTGGTTAAACAAATAATTAATAATATTTAAAAAAAAAATATAAAATAAACTGGTTTAATTTACGTGCTTCATTTTAAAACTCTATATATTAAAAAGAGTGGAAATATTTATTTTAAAAATATACTAGATCTCAACCCGCGCAACCGCACGAGCATTTGTTTTCATTAATTTTTTATATACATTTTTTTTACTTCTAAATTGGTATATATTATATAAGGTGTATATATCGAAAATGATGATTAAATATTATATAGTATAGATTAATTATTGTTAAAAAATGATGATTTTGTTATTTTAAAAAATAAACTATATAATTTTTAAAGTTAACATCAAACATATATAAATAATTAACGTATACTATTACAATATTAAATTATATAAGTTTAATTTAAACATGCATTTCATTATAATATCTATAAATCTAATGGGTCATCTAATTTTTGTTAGCCCAATAAAAATTTTTAGTAAGCCCAATAAATGGTATTAGTGAATCTAATGAATGTTATTAATGATTGAATAATGTAATGTCATAAATTCTATTAGATTGTCCATTTTAAAATATCACATGAAGTGAAGTCATGATTTCTCTTTTAATATATAAGATGTGTTCCCGTCCTATCAATTCTTAACTATATACCTTCTAATATTTATTTTTTCTTTATTTCTTGTGAAAGTACCTTCTAGTATATATAGTCCATCGCATAATTATCCCTTTGACATGACGAAAATAATAATGTAATTATTTCTGTATTTGTCGGAAAATATTACTCTATTTCAAGATGTTTATAAAAATTTAATGCGTCTATGAATTATATAAACTCAGAGAATACTTTGATAAAAAGTGACAACATTATTAATACTTGTTTCTGTCGAGAAAGTTAACGAATAATTACGAAGATATTAATAAATAGCTAAATACTAACGGAGATGAGTGGGAATAAAAGCAGAGTTAAAGGCGAGTCATTAGAGAAAAGAAAAAAGAAAAATTCTCTCGTCAGTCGTCACTATGGGCACAAATGTCCCACTATATAATTCATGGTTTATTTAACTTGCGTTACATACAAATAATTTCATCTTTTATTCGTTCGAAGCAACCTGATTATTCTTCTAGGAAATTGTACTACTATTTTTTAGTAGGAAAACGTTTCCCCAGCTACACGAAGTTTACACTAATATGGTGGAAACCATCAAATGTATAAAAATGTGTCAAGAACTACACGAAATATATGTTAATACATGCCACATGTACGAAGTAAATGATATTATGGTGGCAACATCACAATCGGATTTAATTGTTCTTAAACTAAATTAATGGGGTCAATCCGTAATTTATGAAACTTAATAAACTTTATTGATTTTAATTATTAAAGCTAAAAAAATTAATACACTTAATAAACATAATATTTTTTAAAACTTAATAAAATTAATAAACTTAATATTTTTTTGTTAAACTTAATAAATTTGTTAAACTTAATAAAATTATTAAACTTCATAAACTTAATAAACTTAACAAACTTAATAACTTATAAACTTAATAAGTTATTAAACTTAATATACTTAACAAACTTAATAAACTTAATGATTTATTAAGTTTAATACATCTTATTAAGTTTAATAAATCTTATTAAGTTTATAAAATTTATTAAGTTTTTAAAAATTATTATGTTTAATAAGCTAGAATCCTAAAACTAATAAACAAAATAATTTAATAAATTTATTAAGTTTAATAAGTTTAATAATTTAATAGATTTAATAGATTTATTAAATTATTATGTTTATTAAGTTTGCTAAGTATATTAAGTTTAATAACTTATTAAGTTTATAAGTTATTAAGTTTGTTAAGTTTATTAAGTTTATGAAGTTTAATAATTTTATTAAGTTTAAGAATTTATTAAGTTTAATAATTTTTTTAAAGTTTTTTAAGAATATTATGTTTACTAACTTTATCAATTTTTTTAAAAAATATTATGTTTATTAATTTTATCATATTTTTTAAAAAATATTATGTTTATTAAGTTTATTATTTTATTAACTTTAATAATTAAAATTAATTAATTTTGTTAAGTTTCATAAATTACGGATTGACCCCATTAACTTAATTTAAGATCAATTAAACTCGATTATGATGTTGCCACCATAATATCATTTACTTCGTATATGTGGTATGTATTAACATATACTTCGTGTAGTTCTTGACACATTTTTATACATTGGATGGTTTCCACCATATTAGTGTAAACTTCGTGTAGCTAAGAAACTTTTTTCCTTTTTAGTAGTATTATACATTTAGACCATATATAAATAACAGATTCAATGGTGCATAATTAGTTGGTGAATTCACTTTTTACCTGCTCCACACCATTAATTCCTAACCTTTCTTGCCGTGATTTATGAATGCAAATTTCCAAAAATAAAATTCCTAACCTTTCGTTCATTGCCTTCCTAGATCCAAGAACATGACCCTATCATGTATTTTTATAAGATAGTTTGGTTGTCGATCGATATAAATTTCCCCTGAAAATGAAAAATACATTAAAAAAACAAATACATAATTGAAAGTGCATGGTCTACGAGAGGCTTGATTTATGATAAATCACTTTACTAAAGAGAAAAATCGCATCTACGTAATATTTCATCATAGTATATATACCTTATGATTTATGTTTTTACAGTAAACAGTTTTTTTTTAAAATATACTCACGCAGTAGTATAATATTGACTTGAACACTTTTTTTTTTTTGGACAAAACTTGAACATATTTTTGTATCGATATTTAGAAACTTAACATTTGCATATATGATTTTTCGTATATGTTAACTGGAAAAATTTCCATAAACAAAAACTTATTGGCTAAATCAGTAAACATACAGAAAGCATCCCTGTCATGATTGAAAACAATACAAACCAAAGAAGAAAACATTACCTGATTTTCTTCCTGGCCTTTTCTTGTTTACAGTATAAAGACCATCAGATAAAATAATTGACAGACATATCTTTCTCTCTCTTTCACTCTCAATACTCTCACTCACAGACACTTCAGTATCACACTCTCCTGTTTCTTGTTTCTCTCAATAACCTCCGGACAAAGAACTGAAAACGAATATTTCATATTCAGAAAGACACAAAACTTCAAATACTCTCAAGTCTGATTGCAACAAATTTTGTTTCAGACAAAGATGTCGCAGAGAAGAAGAGAAGCTAGAGGGAGTTATGTTTTTTCCTCTTCAACCTTCTTCTTCTTCATCATCGCTTTGCTATATTCATCTTCTGCAGAGCTCACAGACAAAGGTGTTAACTATGAAGGTAATATTGATCATTAACAAATATTCTTCATTTATAGGTTTCTTTTGCTTTTTCAAAAATTTTTGTTTTCTGTTTCCTCTTTAGTTCTTGCTCTAATAGGAATCAAGAGCTCACTGATTGACCCTCATGGAGTTATGATGAATTGGGATGACACAGCAGTTGATCCTTGTAGCTGGAACATGATCACTTGCTCTGCTGATGGTTTTGTTCTAAGCCTGTAAGCACATAAACACACACACAAAAGATATAATATGTAAGCATGTGTTTACTTAAACTCTTTACTTTTGTGTGTATGTAGAGGAGCTCCAAGCCAGAATTTGTCAGGAACACTTGCATCCAGTATTAGCAATCTAACATATCTTCAGACTGTGTAAGTGTTTTTAGTTATTAAAACATTGTTTTTTTTTTTTTTTGGGCAACATTGTTTTTCATATCTTAATTACTTGGTTGGTTTTTCTAATTATGCTTCTGGATACCCAAAAATAAAAGGTTATTGCAGAACAATTACATAACAGGACATATCCCTCTTGAGATTGGGAAACTGATGAAACTCAAAACACTTGATCTCTCTACTAATAACTTCACTGGCCAGATCCCATCCACTCTTTCTGGTTCCAAAAATCTTCAGTACTTGTAAGATTATCCATTTCCCAAATTGTTATTAATATACATTACAATTATTTATGGATAGATTTTTTGTGCTGAAATTTGTGGAGCAGGAGGATGAATAATAATAGTCTGACAGGAACAATTCCAAGCTCATTGGCAAACATGACCCAACTTACTTTTTTGTACATTCTCTTTCTTGTATTTTTCTATTTAGTTTTCTTGTATGTACATGGATATACAGTATTTGATTATATTTCGTAAATTGTTTTTAGGGATTTGTCGTACAATAACTTGAGTGGCCCAGTTCCAAGATCACATGCAAAAACATTCAAGTAAGTCTATTTCTGAAAAAGAATATTTGTCGTTTTACTCTGTTCTGCAAAAAAACATCAGGGTAATTCCATATTCATACGTTACCCTAAGTAAACGGAGTATATAAATTATGTTGTATTTATATAACATCTTGTCTACTTTATTTGTCTGAGATAAACATTTTATCTACTTGTCATGCAGTGTAATGGGGAATCCTCAGATTTGCCCAACTGGAACTGAGAAGGACTGTAATGGGACTCAACCTAAGCCAACGTCAATTACCTGGAATAGTTATAAAAGTAAGTAAAACCTAAGAGTTAATATTTAAATAAAAAGAAATTTATTGAAATTTTGAAGGTTTAGGCTAAAATGGGTTTGCCTTTTACTTTGTTTGTTGTTAGATGAAGCTTCTGATGGAAGAACAAAAAACCGAAAAATCGCCATAGCCGTTGGTCTAAGCCTTACTTGTGTTTGCTTGTTGATCATTGGTTTTGGTTTTCTTTTTTGGTGGAGAAGAAGATATAACCAACAAGTATTCTTTGACGTCAATGGTAAGTTAACAATGAAAATCATTTTTTCCCCCAGATTTATGCAAACATTTGAACAAATGTGTACATATGTGAATTTGAAATGTTTACAGACCAAAACAAGGAAGAAGTATGTCTAGGGAACCTAAGGAGGTTTAGTTTCAAAGAACTTCAATCAGCGACAAGTAACTTCAGCAGCAAGAATCTAGTAGGAAAAGGAGGGTTTGGGAATGTGTACAAAGGTTGTCTTCATGATGGAACTATCGTTGCGGTGAAGAGATTAAAGGATGTGAACAACGGCGGTGGAGAGATTCAGTTTCAAACGGAGGTTGAGATGATAAGCCTCGCCGTCCACCGTAACCTCCTCAGACTCTACGGCTTATGCACTACTTCTATGGAACGGCTTCTTGTGTATCCTTACATGTCCAATGGCAGTGTCGCTTCTCGACTCAAAGGTATTAAATTATAGGCAAATTTCTAAAATATCATTTTAAAAAAGTTTTATCCCAAAAGTATTACTTAATGATAATTTTTTTGTAAGAAAATATCGTATTTAATAAAAAAATATTCTAATTTATAAATCATAATTCACTCCATCCCTTGAATACTAAACTTTAATTTCTAATTACTAAATCCAAACTAAAATATAATAAAAGTATTCTTAATTTTTAATTAATGCTATTTTAAGATTTTTTTCTTTATATGTTAATTTTATTTAAAAAAAGATGATGTAATGTTATTTGAAGGTTTTTTTTGGAACACTTTTGAAGGTACTTTTCATAAATTATTATCTAATTATGTTTCTATACATAGTTGAACCGGTTTACGACTCATGTACATGTGTGTTGTAGCTAAACCGGTATTGGATTGGAGCACAAGAAAGCGAATAGCATTAGGAGCAGCAAGAGGGTTACTGTATTTGCACGAGCAATGCGATCCAAAGATCATTCACCGTGACGTCAAAGCTGCAAACATACTTCTAGATGATTGTTACGAAGCGGTGGTCGGAGATTTCGGTCTTGCTAAGCTCTTGGATCACGAGGAGTCTCACGTGACAACTGCTGTGAGGGGAACGGTGGGTCACATCGCACCTGAGTATCTATCGACGGGACAATCTTCGGAGAAGACAGATGTATTTGGTTTTGGCATTCTTCTTCTTGAACTGATCACTGGTTTGAGAGCTCTTGAGTTCGGAAAAGCAGCCAACCAAAGAGGAGCGATTCTTGATTGGGTAAGTGAAGCCGACACTAGCCTAGTCTTGTTTCTTGCTTCAGTTATGTCAAATTCACTCAATTCTAGGTTACATATTGCTGGGGATAGTTATGAAAACGATATAAATATATATATTTTAGAAGGAAATACAACTTTTAAACCTTAGGTTATCATGTCAAAAAAACAAGCTTAGATTATTTTATTTATCTATTATTATTGTTTTTAGTGTTAGGATGATTTATAACTTTTTTTTATTTATTTACAAAAAGATTATGTTGCTATACATTCATGCTGTATTTTTAGAAGGATAGACAACTTTTAAAGCTTGGGTTATATTCCTTTAGAGAAATACCATTAAATAGCAGTAATTCAATTTTCTTTATGACAAAATTAACAAATAATGAGATTTTTTATATTAAATAGCATCAATTAATGATAAAATATAAATTTTATATTTGTGTTCACAGTTTAGTGATTATAGTTATGGTCTAATATTTATAGGGTGAAGGTGGGATTATAATTTAGGAGTTAGAGTAATTTAGTTTTTTTTTTTTTGGCAAATAAGTGTTAATTAGGAATTTTTATCACTGAGTGATATTTTGGGATAAACTTTAAAAATGATATTTGGAGAGTTGCTATATTCTTTGTTAATATTTGGCTAAGTGTTTGTTTTCAGAAAATTTATTATTTACAAAAAGATTTTCTTAGCTACAAATTTAGGGTATATTATTAATAATCACTTATGGTTATGGGAATACTTGTAGGTGAAGAAACTACAACAAGAGAAGAAGTTAGAACAGATCGTAGACAAGGATTTGGAGAGGAACTACGATAGGATCGAAGTGGAGGAGATGGTTAAAGTAGCTTTGCTTTGTACACAGTACCTTCCCATACATCGTCCAAAGATGTCTGAAGTTGTGAGAATGCTTGAAGGAGATGGTCTCGTTGAGAAATGGGAAGCTTCTTCTCAGAGAACAGAAACCAACAGAAGTTACAGTAAACCTAACGAGTTTTCTTCGTCTGAACGTTATTCAGATCTTACTGATGATTCCTCGGTCCTGGTTCAAGCCATGGAGTTGTCAGGTCCCAGATGACAATCTTGATATTTGTCATAAAACATATATAAACTTTGAATGCTACGATCTTGTATATAGGTTTTGGTGTCATAAGAACTCGTATATCTTATTGTGGAAGCAGATGAAATCTGGAAATATTGTGAAATATGAATTATGAGAATTTACTATTTACATATATATCTTGATAAAAATGTGAATTTTTAATATGAATTATTCGACTTCAAGCATGACTGGCAATTGTAGGTTTAGTTTATGAATTTCTTTATGTTCTCAAAATTGTCTTCGGTTCTTGAAACAGAGTCCCAAACCATGCAATCAATCCTCGTGTTCACCATCGCTTTCAGAATCTGCAAAAAGACACCAACTTTAAAATGATCCTGAAAACATATATCCTCATCTTTAATGAGATTTTCACTAAACATACCTGATCTGACGACATCTTCACTAAGCTTGCCTAGGTCCTGTACTTGTTTGGCAAGCATCCGGTATATCAAAAACCCAGAACCGGTTCTGAAATTCACATATTCACTTAAGGCCGCAGTTGAAAAGAGAAAAAATGGCTGGTTTTATATATATATTTCTTAATTTTTTTTTTTTGGAACACATATATATTTCTTAAATATTAGCTGTTTTTAAAAGCTATATTTCATGTGAAATTTGAGGCCGCAAGCGGATACTTGATTTGTTTGGCCTTAAGGCCGCCTCTGCAAAAACCTACCAGAATATATGAAGAACAAGCAAGCAAAAACAAGAGTGTGTTGAACATGTAGTAATAGATAGGTCCTTCCACAGGATGCTTTTCCTTGTCCACAGTCATAATAATCTGATAGCTGCAAACCACATCAAAAATGTCAAAAAAAACATCCAAGAAAACAAGTAAAACAATATGTATAACTAGGATAAGATCCGCGTCTTGCGCGGGATGAAGCTATTATTTTTATTATGTTTTAGAAAATGAAACAATTAGTTCGGTTTCATTCGGATTAGAGGTGTTCTATCCGGATATCGGGTTTCGGTTCGGCTCGATTTTTTGGTATTTCAATTTTTAAAATATAACTACTATTCTAAATCTATATGTACTTCAGTTTGATTTGGTTTATATACCATCGATTTTCAGTTTATTCAGTTTTATACCAAAAAACATAATTATTTAATTTGAGATCATATTATATATTATACAAATATATAATATGATCATATTTAGAGTCATATTGTCATAGAGTCAATTATTAAAAAAATATTATATATTTAAATAAAAGAATAAAAAACAAAAAGGCTTCTATCATCTAATAAAATGAGCAAGTCTAGAATTAATATCAAAACACTAAATTTCGAAAATAAAAATAAAAAACAACAGAAGCATGAAAGAAAAGTTTTTATATTCTTCCATATTAAGTGTTCATCAAACCAATATGTCTTCGATTGAATACAACTCTGTTTGTTTAAAGATAAAAAAAAGTTGTAAAGAATTTCAACTAATTGTTGTCCATCCAATTTATAATCTTTACTTCAATTTAGTTACTGTTAAAAAAGAAAAAAGATCAAAATAAGAAGTCTCAATTGTAATAAATTCTTACTTATTTACAAATTATAATTATAGTTCAACTCATGTAACAAATAGATATTCATGTGTCGTTATAAATATATACATATTTACATGTTTCAGTTTAATCAATTATAAATCAAACCATATCGAAATCCTATGGTTTTTATAAAATCACATCCATTCAGTTTGTATGGTATATACCAAAAATAACCATATTATCGATTATTTAATATCTTTTAAAAATATAAAATTAAAAAAAAAGAAATAAGATATTTAAATCATTGATAACAAAAAATTTCAATGTGAAAAAATTTAATAATTTTATAATTTATAAATGTTCTTGAAAATTTATTGAAATTTTTGAAATTAAAATATTTATGTAATCTTATATGGTATATAGTTTAATCTGTATATATATTTGTTTTATTATTGAATGATACTTTTTACTTATATGGTTTTAAAATCATGTATATCTTTTTATAATAAAAATGTTAAACTATTGATCNTTGAAATTAAAATATTTATGTAATCTTATATGGTATATAGTTTAATCTGTATATATATTTGTTTTATTATTGAATGATACTTTTTACTTATATGGTTTTAAAATCATGTATATCTTTTTATAATAAAAATGTTAAACTATTGATCATTAATTTTTAACATAATAATTTTAATAGTTTTAGTTATTTATTCTCGTTTTTTAAATTTAAAATATAACCTATAAGAAAAAATCTAAAGCTTAATTTTATAACTAATTTGATTGTTTAATTTATTTTAATAATATAAAATTAAAGAAAATGATAGAGGATATATAAACTGTAAATATTTATTATAGAATCATTAATGGTAATTCCGTAGGTTTTATTTATGGGAAGAAAATAAAATAGTAATTATATCTAGGGAAACAATCATAAATGTTTTTTTCATAAATGTCATATCATATCATCATATCATATATATTACTCATTTATGGTAATTACGTAGGTTTTATTTATGGAAATAAAATAAAATAGTAATTGTATCTAGGGAAATAATCATAAATGCTTCTATCATAAATGTCATATCATCATATCATATAATTTGACCAAGGAATGTATTTAGCGACATATAAAAATCGAATGTGGACCTACTTATTTTTCAATTGAATGTAATTGAATACCTAATTGATTGATACCTAAGAGTTTATAATAAATAAGATGTCGCAAGAGTTTATAATAAAACAAACCTTGTGCTCCAAAGGATCCAGAAAGGATAGTAAATGAGACGTAGAACGGCTCCACTATACTTTGACATCTTCCCAAGTTCAAGGAACACATCGCTCGCGTCATGGAGTGCAAGAATGATAGAACCAGCACGAGATAATCTAATCACACATCAAAATATGGATCACAACGAAACTCTTTACTTCATCTGCTGATTAGGCCAAATCTGATCTCCAGGACCGATCCAGAAGTAGAGAGTGTCTGTAAACCAAGGCTCGTTATATGTCACAGAAAAAGCAAGTAGCTCAGCTGAGAGGTAGTAGATACACTTCTATGGTGATTCTTTGAATTTTCGGATTTTTCTGTTTTTTTTTCTTTCTTTCCTTTTTTTGTTACCATTCTTGTTCGGACTCTGCCTTCCATAAATCAAAAACCTTCCCATTTTCTATAATATTATTTCTGAAGTGATCTATCTATACTATTATTTAAGAAGTAAATTTGCTTATTTATTATGTACCTTTCTTAAATAATTATGAACCTTTCAGAAAGGAAAGATCCCATGGACTGGGGAAATGTTGAGGAGGCACTGTATATGCTGAGGTAAACAATTCGGAACTTTCAAAAACAATTTTGAACTTTTTAAAAACAATTCCGAACTCTTCAGAAATAATTTTAAACTCTTCATAAACATTTTTGAACCTTTCAAACAACAATTTTGAATCATTCAGAAAACAATTCTATAATAGAGAGTACACAATTATGTAATATCACTTTGTTAATAATTATGATTAATTTAATAAAATTTTGGTCAAATGAATTAGTGTTCGAGAAGATTGTGTGTTAATCGGAGAGAAATTAAAGATGAATTTGTTTGCTTAACTAATTTGAATTTTATGTTAAACACTAAAAAAATGTGTGAGAAAGAGTAGTTATGATTTTACAAAATTATGAAAACTTTATCAATACTTTGCATCTAAATAAAATAAAGTAGTAAACCAAACATGCGAATATAAAAAGTGTTATAAAATAACTTTTTTGTTAAATAATTGTCGGTTTTGTGCTAGTTTACAAATTCTATCATAAAAAGATATTTGAAAACTTATATTAAAATTTATAAAGTTATCATTATATTTTAAAATTCTTCTATGGTTATATAATATTAATTTTTTTGATTTTTAAACTACTAATATTAAAAGGTTATTTTAATATAGTGAATAATATTCAAAATTATAAAATTATAAATAAAATATACAATTTTTATACAATATTTTGTACACGCGAAATCGCGGAAAACCACCTAATTTATCAGTATAAAGCTACAACCTTTCTTTTCATATTTTACAATATAAGAGTACGAGCTTTTTTAGTCGAGGCCTTCGGAAAAAGGTCAAATTTTAATAACCTTAAGACACACAAAATAATTAAGAAAAAAATGCATAGTAAAACATAAGAACTTACAATAAAACATAAGTAACACATAAGCAAAATTTAAGCAATTTTTTAAAAAAAAATTATGAAAATAAAAATTTGAGATCTCAGTTTCAGATTTTTAGATAAACATATCTTATACATACATGTTTTGTGTGAAGGATGTGCTAAACGGATGAATTTGTGTTGTCTAAGGGTTAGGATGAATTTGTAGTTGTTCGTTAATAGATATCACAGTTCATCTTTACTCCTCTATAGTTTAGATCTGATTTTAGCTGGTTCAGCTTAGGTGGTTTACGTTTTCCTCTTCATAAAATATATGTAACTGCAGTGGACTGAAGGAATACAAGAAATGTCGATGTCTACAGCTTCGAAGTCATTCTCATGGAGTTCATTACTGGCCACCAAGATATTCTATACCAGATCTGAAGACGATGTCCACATCATAGCATGGTTCAGGAAGAGGCTTCATGAAGAAAAAAATTCTTTGAAGCTATTAACGGAGCAATTATCGAGAACCAAGAGACTCAACGAACCATATATGAAGTTGCAAAACTGGCAATTCAATGCTGCGCGAGGACACCTGAGCAGAGACCTGATATGGCTCAGGCCGTCTGCTGTCTTTCCATGAGCAGTGGGAATCCAGCAGCGAAATCCAAGATTTGGACGAAGACATAGTTCCTTCCGAAATGATTGAAGATTGGATGCAGGCTGTAAAGGAAAGCAGCAGTGTGATGTCATTTTACCAGGTTGAAAATATTGTGTGACTATAATTCTTTCATGATATAGTTTTCCTAATAAAATGACAAAAAAAATTAAGACAACAACTAGGGTTGCCTTTTCTTTTAAAGAAAATGGTTCTTTTTAGGATGAGAATAAATGATCTGGACACCCGGTTACATCGCACCATAATATTGTATAGTTTTCTTATTCCTCTGTCAGTTATCTAATTTGATTCTAACATTGTAACTGATTTTGGAAATTAACAAATATATGTAACTGCAGTGGACAGAAGGGCTACAAGAAAGGTTGATTGTTAC